CGCGGCCCACAATGTAATCTAAGTCATACATACATACATACATACATACATACATACATACGCACATATATACATACATACATACGCACATACACACTCTGTCATGCACGTAGTTACACACATGCTCCCCCCCCAGCACCCCCGTCTCTCACCTGCCGGCGCCTTGATGCGACCGCCAGCCTTGAACATCCCCAGGACCTTGGCACCACCTCCACCTCCACCACCACCACCACCTCCCTCCCCGGGCGGGCTCTTAGCTTTCTGCGGGTTGGGGTGGGGTGGGGTGGATGGGGTCAAACACATCACACGCGAGAAAGTGGGAAATAAACCGCCGGTGTCCAACGTGGGTGGGGGGTGGGGGGGTGGGGTGAAGTCGGGGGTGAGTGGGGGGAAATGACCGTGCGTTCATGTCAAGTTACGAGTTACATGTTACATGTCCAGGATAAGGGGGGACTCCGGTGCAAAACCAAAACACAAAATATGTACAATAGCAAGACATACATACAGACGGACGCACATCTCGCCTAACAACTGTCAGTCACCACGCTACAGGGAACCCCCCCCCCAACCCCCCCACCCTTTCTCCCCACCTTCCCCAGCCGGCGCAGTCGAGGTCTCAACCCCCTCTCCCCCTTCCCCCCCCCACACACACGCGTCCAGCCTTTCCTCCCCGCCTGCCCCTGTCGTACCTTTGCTGCTGCTCCCGCTGCGCCCGCTTCCAAAGCCTGAAGGCGTGTGTGTGTGTGTGTATTGGAAAGGGGGGAAGGAAAGGGAGGGAGCGGGGAAAAGAGGGGGAATCATGCTGGTGGGTGTGAAAGCGATCAACTTCCGACGTGAGATGGGGAGGACGGGGGAGGAGATGGGAAGGAGAGTGGGCGAGGTGAAGGGGTAAAGAGGGGGATGACATGAAATGGGTGACGTGGAGTCCATCATCACCACTTTTCCACTACTCAATATTGCTCGTCCCATCACTTCGCCAACATCCCGCCCCACCATACACATACTCACACACATACACATACACGCATACACGCCACCCTCCGTAACCCCACACGCCTTACACCGACTCCCCCTGGACCCACCTTCCGGTTGTAGTTAATACCGGGTTTGACACGAGCCCCCGAGCACCTGCCGCCAAACCCCCCACCCCCCCACCATTCTCCCAATAACACAATACCACCCACCCACCACGAAACGAGAGAAGTCATCGCCGTCGTCGTCATCGACATGATTGCGGCGGCCCGTAGCGAGGCCGGGTGGTGATGTGGCGCCGGCGGCGGCGGCGGCGGTTGCGGGCGCCGAGGATGTGGCGCCGGCGGCGCCGCCGCTCGGTGAGGTGGCCGGAACCCGCGCCTGCCAGCTCCCCCTCGTTGCTGCTCCTGCTCTTGCTGCTGATGACTTCGGACCAGAAGACGCAACGACATTTGTATTTTGTTGATGTTGCTGTTTTTGTTGTTGCTGAAAGCCGGATGACGCCGACGCGGCGTAGGACTTGCCAGCGGCGGCGGCGGCGGCAGTTGCGCCTCCGCCGCCTCGCACCGCCGCCGCCTCCGTGGATGCGGGTGCGGATGATGAGGTCATTGGCGGTGTGGATGTGGGTTTCCCGCGGGGGGAGGTCAGTGGCGGCGGGGGCGCCAGGAAGTCGTTGATGAGGGCGATACCCGCGGGGCTATCCGCCATGAAGTTCTGTGGGGTGGGGGGTGGGGGGTTGGGGGGTTGGGAGGGAGGGAGGGAGGGAGGGAAGAAGGGGGGGAAAGACGAACCACGAACGAGTGAAGCTGCTGCCAAGGAAAGAATGTACAAGAAGCAGAAGTGACCAGAAGAAGGGGGGGTTGAATGGGGTTTGGCGGCGGGTGCTCGGAGGTTCGTGGCAAACCCGGTAGCAGCTACGAACCGGATATGCGGGAGGACGGGGAAGTGACGGATTGATGATACTACTACTTGTATCATAAGCGGGGCCAGGACCGCTGCCCCCACCTGAACCATCTCGTCCAGTTCGGAGCGGTCCCCCCCAGGTCCTGATGCCCTCAGTACGGCATCCACAAGGCCCTCCACGATAAGCTCGTCCCAACCGAGCACCTGCCGTGCGTTAGGTGGTCAGTTAGGGCTGACGATTAGTTCCTTTGGTTTATTAGTTGGGTGCGCGGCGGCGCAGATCCTGGGGCACTGGCTTAACAGCTATCATGCGACAGAAGGAGCAGGGCAGTTCAAGGGTGCAATGCAGGATTGGGCGGGGGTAGCTTGCGTTCTTTTATGTGTGATCGGGATTGAAACCGCAAAGTGCATACACCCCCAGCGGGCATATTACTTTTAAAAGCCTTTTAAAACCCTATGTGTATGAGTTTGGGAGAGGGTACCCCAACAACCCACCCGGGCGAGCTGCTCTTTCAACCATGTAGCGTCGCGATGGCGTCCCGCCATTGGCCTGCTGCTCGACCTTGGCCGAGATCAGGATATCGTTGTGCAGCAGAAGATATTACCTGGCTCTGGCCTCCACAATTGAATTTGCCTTGGGATGGCAAGTCAGAGCACCAACCGTCGCGACAGCAGTGAGCGTCAGCTGCTCATAGACCTTTGAGGTTTTGCCCTACGCCTAGATAAACGGGTCTATCTCCCCCAACAACCCAAGTTACATGCACTTGCTTAGGAAAATGTAACTACGGTAGACTGAAAGGGATTACGATCCGTGCTTAACGGAGGTGGGAATGTGAATATGTTCATATTGCCAGCAGAAACAAACAGTTCCCTGTGCAGCGTGGCAGCTTTCCAAGGCTTTACCTCCAGGCAAAGTCGGCAATGTCTAAACCTCACGTACGGCGCCTGATGACCGAACTTGCATCGGAAACTTGACAAACGGGAACTCTTCAAATGCACTATTTTTTACAGAGAAGAGAAGTCTTACCAAAGTGTCCTACTTTCCGCGCAAGGCGCATGTCGGCGGCGTGATAATCTTTACGTTGGCCACCTGCGCTGTAACGCTGCGGTAGGAAATGCTTACAGGCCCCTACACTCTAGATGCATTGTTAATGTGACGTGTTGTGGAGCGAACTCTTTGCTTTTGCATCTAGAGAGTTCAAGGCCAGGCGAGGGCTTTCAGATCAAAGCAATTACATGTGCTAGCAATCTTTGGCTTTTGTGTTATAAGGCGGCATCGGTCGAGTGCAGCGCAAGCCAGAGAGGGTAGTGGGTGTCATAACTATACTTTCAATCACAAGCGCGACTGGGTGGCCCTGGCTTGGACATCCGCGGATTGCTTAGGCCATGGTAGGAGGACTTGCGAGACTAATATCGACCTGCCTGCGCGTTCATCATGTTCTGTGTCTTCATCCAAACAGCATCAGCGACGGTTCGCAGTCGTTTACGTGCACATCCGATATCCTCGGAGGCCCACCCGAATATACATTCCAGCTTCATTCTATCACGTTTCTTAGCGAGCAGACACGGCATGTCTTTCCTTGGACTTGGACAGCTGATGCTTACCTCGATTACCAATACCACACGACTTTTCCCTACCCCCAAAACACACAAAACCCGCCCTTCCTAAACTTTAAATTTCGGCAGCTGCTTCCTTTAACCGTTTGTCACTTAACTCCCGTACCTCACTTGTCCTTTTTCCAGGCCGCCCGAGTATTGGCCCAGGTCTTGGTGGCGGGTGCGACTGTGCTGTTCCGGGCAGCCACCCAGGCCTGGGCCCAGGCGCTCGTCAGTGAGTAACCCCGCTACTGCCGCCGCCGCCGCCCCTGCTGCTGCTGCTGCTGCAGCTGTTGACAATGCTCCTGCTCCTGACACTGATTCCAAAATCTGAAATTCCTTTTCTCCTCGTCCATTACCCCTATTCCCCCCATTCCCCCTCCCCCTCTTCTGTAGATGCTCAGAAGTCGGGAGTGGCGAGTGAGGCCGCTCAGGTGCGTGTGTGTATTTGTGTTTGTGTGTGGGAGGGTTTCGTGGGGGGGGGTGTTGGGATAAGTGGGGTTGGGGGGGGTCAAAAGGGCCTCCCCCTGAGGGAGGCGGAGGGAGGGGGGGCCTTATGGTGTACGAGGCACGGGGTGAGGAGCAAAGAATCAAGAACCGGTTGGGGGGAGGGAAATGGGAAACGATCCCGTTCGTGGGAATGGTGGGAGCTGAGCGGCCTCAACCCTCGGGACCTCTCGGTGCTGGTTGCTACTGGCCTAGCTAGGGCTTTTTACATGGTGTGTGTTTGGGCTCCCCCCCCCCGAGTGAGAGAGGGGAGGGAAAGGGGAAGGGGAAGGGAGTTCATGTGTGTGGTGTTTTGCGCCTGAACGCGGTTGTTGGCCTTCCCCACGCCAAGCCACCTTGCCCTGCCCGGGGGCCTATGGGTATATACATGATCTGAGGCCGCTTTGTCCCCCCTCACACACAACAACACACAACCACAACAACACGGAAATAAAGCCACCACCAACGGCCCCCACAACCTCAGCCCAACCTTGACATCAGCTTCACTCGTTCGCCGGGTTCGTCTTCCCCCTCAACCACCTCCCTCAACCACCTCCCTCAACCACCTCCCTCAACCACTTCAACCCCAGGCGGGTGCAACCGCCGCCAAGAAAGCGGGCCAGATGGCCATCCAGGAGGCCCACATGATCCTGGGGGTGGATGCGAATGCGCCGTGGGGAGAGGTGGTCAAGGTACGCCTTGAAGGAAGGGGCGGGGATACCCCCGGCGCGAAAATCAAAAGGTGTTCCTTTTTGCGAAAGGAGGTGTTGCTGTTGCAGCGGCGGCTGGGGGGGGGGAGGTGGTCGAGGAAGAGAGCCGCGGCGCCGTCTCCTCGTAGCCCCCGGAAGAGGCGGGGCGAATGGGCGCGAATCGGCTAGGGGGGAAAGGGGGTAAAAAGGGGAGCTGGGTGGAGCTGGAGGAGTTTGAGTGAGCTGTTAACGTGATGGACGACGGGCGAAATGAGGGCAATGGGGGTCCTGTTCCTCCTTCGCCCTCTTGGGTCCGTTTGCTTGTGCCCGTCTGTGTCTGTATGTCTGTCTGTTTTGTGTTTCTGCGTGACCTAAGGGCAGCAGGCCCTGGCCAGTGTCGGATACATACTTGTAACCTTTTCACACACATACACACACAAACGCACACGCACGCGCGAACACACACACCTCATGCACCCTAAGACCATCGTCCCCTCTCTCCTCCCCCCTTCAGCGCTTCAAGCACCTGTTCGATGTGAATGAGAAGCACGGGTCCTTCTACCTGCAGAGCAAGGTAGGCTGAGATGACGGGGAGGCTGTGTGCGTGGGTATGTATTTCTGTCCGTGGTTCGTTAGGGAGTTTGAACACGGCGGGTGGACCGGCCCCGCCTCTGTTGTGGAGGAGGGGAGAGGGGCGGGGAGGAGAGGGGTTTGCGCGCGTGTTCGTACCAATGTCGTGCGAGGGTTTTGTATTTGCTGGTACCACACTGGGGGGTGTTGCCCATGGCCCGTTCGTATATACCGCAGGTGTACCGCGCGAAGGAGTGTATCGAAGAGGAGTACAAGCGGTTGGGGTTGTACGGCCCAGAGGAAGAACAGCAGCAGCAGCAGCAGCAGCAACAGGACAATGCACAACAGCAGCAGAAGCAGCAGTAGTAGCAGTAGATAGTAGCAGGCTGACAGATAATTGCTCCGACAGAAGTAGGAGGAGGACAACCTTTTGCCATGCTACTCTTGCACCCACCACCCACCTGCTGCTGCTGCTGCTGCTGCTGCTTCTCGTACATGGAGGGCCCCGGAGTGGAGCATCGTAGCTGGAAAAGCAAAACAAGCGCGGCGGTCCACGTCGCGCCGCGGGCTGGCGGCTTGGGGCTGTTCCTGCTGCTGTTACTGTTATTGCATGTGCTGGACAGTCAGTCCTAGAGGGGACGGTCATCACATCACATCACAGCAGCGGTGTAGTGCGGTGAATGTATACGATGACACCACTGCCGCCGTCGTCGCCGCCATCACCATCGCTGGAAAGCGCCTCCGAAACCTCCCTGTAACTTTAACTGCTCTCTATGTGTACGTGAAAATAGATGTCGCAGCATCGGGTCTCAGTCCGGTGTATATTTCTGTGTACGACACGCGTATCTTGTGATGATTCTGAAAAACCCTAGAGACTCCCTGCTTGCTTGTCACGGATGTATGTATGTATGTATTTACATATGTAAGCCTCCGGGCGTGTGTCACCTAGTTGCCTTCCTTAAAATGTCTGGAGTAATTCAGAAAGGCGAAGGGAAGAGACAAAATACGAAACACACGAGACGAGTACAGCACGATGACGCATGTGCGCAATCCCCCCCTCCATCTGTCGCATTCAAAGCATAGGTTGGATTTTGTGCTTTGTGTGTGTGTCTGTGTGCGTGTGCTACACCTCGAGTTGAGGTGTCTTAACACACATACGAGCGATTACTCTCCGAAGGTGTAACGGGCCCCATACGGCGGTCTTAGTTTTCGGATTCCTCCTTGAAAATTGCATCATAACGAGAGAAACTTGTGCGACAGTAGAAAAGGGAACGAAAAAGAGTGAAAAACTGTAGACAGTCGGCTCCATAATAGGTGAATAGAAAATATATATAATGCGCACTTAATGAACAAGCATTTATTCCAACATTTCTGGCATGGATTTGAAATGCCACATCATGCCACTTCACCGTATGAAGGTCCGAAAGCCCCGGCAAAAAAAACGGCACACGACATGCTTTCCACCCCCCCAAATTGAAAACACATACAGATGACACGCCCACGTCTGACACTCCAGCCCACATCCCAGCCACATCCATCCGCTGTGTCCAACGCACTACCGCACCCAACACGAGCACTAACACACTCCAGGAAAGGACGTCGCCAATCCGCTCACCATCACACAACGAAACACCGGCTGCTGCGAATGGTCCCTCACCTTTCCCTCCTCCCCCCCCTCTTCATCATCTTGCACATGCATGGAACACCTTCACCCATAACCTTTTCTCCGCCACCCCATATCCTGCACATGCATCCCCATCGCTGCTGACGCCACCCGTAATGCAAATTGTCGTACATCGCGCAGTCGTACCGTACGGTACGGCACTTTATGGTGCGCGTCGGATGGATTACTCGCAGTGACGGTCATGCACAAGTGTACGGCACATCCTACCCAAAACCTCCTACGACGATAATGACCACCACCATCTCCCACCCTCACATACATACAGATTACAAAAGCTATTGACAAATGAATTCAATACAACAACGTCCGTAGGCGCAGCAGCAGCAGCATACAGACACCCGCCGGCCCACAGCACGCCACCTAAAGGCAATGCATGCACACATACACACACACGCACATACATCCCTGCACACCGAAGTAATAGAAGGGCAAGAAGCAAATCCTTCCCCCGTTGACAGACGCACACATACATACATACATACACACAGGGGTTTGGCACTACTGGTAAGGCGCGACCATTGCCCCCGGGAGATCCCGGGATCGATACCCTAAACCCTAGGGTCAAAAGTCCTTCCGATGGTGGAAGGCATTGCGCCCCTAGTTGATGGACGGTGGTGACCTGGGATAAAGTTAACCTGCGAGCCGACCAGGAATGGAGATGGGCCGCTGTCGACCCGGCAGATTCCGTTGGATGCTGGTGGTGGGTGCGGAACCTGAGCGATCCACTGAGAAGTCGGCTAGGGTGACTGGATGAGGGTGCCCCGAAATACCGGGGAAGGCCGGGTTTCGCAGGGTAGCTGCCACGGGCGAAGATACACCCCCCTGTTTCCCACATCATACACACAGACGCACACATACATACGTACACTCTGAAGTCAGATGGGGTGATTGGATTAGGGTGCCCCTTTAGCAGGGGAGAGCAGGGAACTGCCTCGGGAAAGGGGGCCGCTGGTGAAGCTATACCACCCTGTAACAACATCATACATACATACGTACTCATTCACACCCCCGGGTAAAGTTAAAATGAACAATGATAGCGACATCCATTTCCACTCACCCCAAACGCCCCTCATGCCCCGCCCGCCATGTTCTCTAGCAGCAAAGCACGCCAAGACACGGAGCTCAAGAGGTGAACACAAACACCTCCACAGTCCACCCCTCGACTTAACACCACCTGCTCTTTGCCTTCCCCCGCTCTGCTCTACGCTGCTCTCCGCCCTCTACAGTGAGAGCCGCTCAGGGTCGCCCATTTGTTTGAGGCAGGGGCCCCACCCACCCACCCACGTTGGGCCCCACATACCGGGGCGCCGGAACCCTTAACCCACAACTGCCTCCTATTAGCAATTCAAGAGGGTTTGAAGGCCATTTCTTGTGCGGGCTCTACTAAACTCCCGGTGTATCCCCTCGTCGATGAGCTATTTGTTTCCCGGCAGGGGCGGCCTCCCACCCAAGCAGGCAGTGGGGTAAGACGAACCACTGGAGAATGAAGCAGATATCGGATACCCGGGCATGGGGGGCACCCGCAAGGCTACGAACAACAAAAAACCTCATCACGCCTCCTCGGGAGACACACTCCGAATCACGTCCCGTCCCGTCCGGCCCGGTCCGGTCCGATAGCCTGGTTGGCTTTGCCGCTCACGTTAAAATCCGCGTAGCCCTTGAGCGGGTAAGGGGCTCTTGTCAGATGCGCACATACACACATACATACACACATGCATACATACATACACACATACATTCTCATCATTGCGCAGGGGCAGGTTGACCTGCTGTCTTGACCAGTTTCTGATTTTCCAAGTCAGATGCAACACACAAGCATACATACATACGTACATACAAACGCACTCGAAACGCGTCATCCTCGTTTCTGCTGCCCACGATGATGTGTGCGTCTGTATGTATGTACGTTCACAACTCACACACAAATGCATGCCGAAGAAACACAGCTCTGTGCGGCCCTTGGGTTCGTTCGTTTACACGCATACTTACATACATACATACATACATACATACATACATACACACCAAAAAAAACATACTTACATACATACACGAACGTAACGAATACTCGGGGAAATAGACTGTTTGTCGCGTGCTGTGTACTACGGGCCAGGCTTCTGTTCATGTGTCGATTCACATCGCCACCACTCGGCCCCCACCGCTCCCCTCCCCCCAACAATCACCGCCACTTCCCCTCACCATTATCACCGCCACGCACCACTCTGTCCCCCCACCCCACCCCACCCCACCACTCCCCACACCACTATCAGCCCCGGGGCCGTGACGGTCCCGTACAGTCGTACATCACCCGCATCACACCGTACCACATTGTATCCGCTCATACGAGCACCGTCATGGGCGCAGATCTGCTGTTAATGGGCCCTACGACTCGTACATACATATCCGCATAATCCTGCAAACATGTGCATTTTGGTGTGCAGACAGAGATGAAGCAGCAGCAGAAGCGGCAGCGGCAAGAATAATAACAACAAGAACAGCAGGGTACGGTAAGAGACACATGCGCGCACGTGCCTGCATTTACATACATACATATATACACACACACGTGCAATCAAATCAAGTAAAGTGGAACACGTTGGGTGTGTTTTACACGAACAAACTTGTCAACCGATTATATATTCCCCCCCCAACACGTTTGTAGCCCAAAACACGTCGTACACGTACGGCATGTACGGCAGACGCAACGCCCCACCTGCATTCGATTGGCCTTCTCATTCATGTCGCCTCCACAGGGTACGTGGTAGTTGTACCACTCCCGTACTAAATCAGCTTCGCAGTCCCCCCCCACGGGACGACGGGGAAGACGACCGTTATGAAAGTACGGCACCCTGCGCAGGTCGCATCCGCATGGACCCTGCACAGCGCACACCGCGTAAAAGACCGGACCATCCAGACATACAGACGTACACAAACACGCTAGGTTTTTCGGGGAAAATGGGAAGTGTACGGGTGCGGCTGGTGGGGGGGGCCTGGTAAAGACGAACCACAGACGAGAGATACCGATTCCGGGGCGAGGGGGGATATACGGCACGTCCGGGGGAAGAAGAGATTTGCATGGTTTGGGTTTGGCGACCGGCCGTGTCATTTCGGGGGCAGGAGGGTCGCCCGTGAACAGCAGGGGGGAAAGGGTATCTTGTTGTTGTGTAAAGAAAGGCTGCTTCCGATCTTGTGGAGCCCATCACGAGATGCAGTAACGACTCACCCAGTACAGCAACCCACACGCAATGTGTACGATTGTTCAACGACCAACGAACCACGTAAAATGCTATGTAAGCGTTACCCCCGCACTTTTGTTCGGAAGTACGAAAAGTACACGATAAGCTCTATTTTCTTCCCGTATGTATCGGCCCAGACAGCCGTACGGCATCCGTACAGGGTCCAACTGAAAACTACCTTGAAGTCCCTCCCCATGTGTATGTCTGTCTGTCTGTCTGCCTGTTTTTTGTTTGTTTCTCTACATATGCTGTTTTTGTGCATGGATGGGTTTGGGTGTGAAAGTGTGTATTTCAGCAAACCCCCCGTCGTCCAATTCCCCCCCTCCGGCAGAACACGGCAGGAAACCCCCCCGGCCCCCGCCCCCCCTACCTACCATGCAATAGTACGGAAAGAGATCCGGGTGCAGCATACTCATGGACAAGTGCCGTACGGACACGTCCGACGAAACCCACTCCACGGCGGGCGCAAAGGTGGATTGGTCCCAGGGCTTGTTTCCCGTCAGGGCGATGTTTCGAAGCCATAAGGCCCAGTTGTAAATGGCGCGAGTTACCATGGCTGTGGGTCTGAGGATGTGGTGTGCGCGAGACGAAGGGGCGAAGCGCATGTGTGTGTGTGTGTGTTTGTGAGTGAGAGTGTGTGTGTTTGTGTACGGAGGGAAGGGGGAAAGACGAACCACGAAGAGAAGGGGGGAAGGGGCAATCATTGATCAAATGCAGGTGGCAAGGTAGCTAGCTGGCTTCCAACAGTCGACGTCCAGAACTTAGCGGGGGAGCAAGTTGGGGCGGGGGAGCAGTGGGGGGGGCCCCCAATCGGGAAGGGGAAGAATTGGTCAGGAGGTACGAAACCACAACCCTGAAGGAGACACACACACACACATACACACACATACATACAAACACACAAACACATGATTCCTGGCGCAAACGGTAGACCCCAAAGGAGGAGCAAAATGCCCATTAGGAGCGAGCAGCTGTACGTGTGTATGTATATACGCACGCCAAGAGTGTCGTGCCCCCACACATACATACACGTACATACTGACAGACGTGTTTCCTCGATAGAGGAAAAAAACAAGAGAATTTTTTTTACAGAGATGGAAAACCCCAAAAGTAAACAAAGACCGCACCTAAAGTACACAAATCCAATGTTGTTGTTGATGGGGGGGAACCTCTCCATGGGGGTCGCGTCGCCGTGGTTGTGACAGTCACCGGAGACCAGAATATCAGCCTCGCGAGCCAATATGTACGGCAGTGGATTCCGAAAAAAGACTTGATCTGCAGAATGGAATGTGCGTGCGTGCGTATTCATGTATGTGCTTTAATAATCTGTGTGTGTGTGTGTGTGTGCGCACGTGTGTGATAGGTATAAATCTATAAAATAGATTTAAATAGAAAAGTAAAAAAATATGAATGTGAATGTACGGACAGGGGAAAACCCGCAGGGAGGATCACCATCGTTCATCACCGAACGAGAGATGTCCTCTGGGGCCTCCAGAAGCAGATTGCCGCGCACGTGCATGCGTCCGTCTGTCTGTATGTATCTGTGCACGTGCAAGTGTACGTGCATTCGTACTTCGTCGTATCCGCATCAGCATTATGGCGGCCGCCGAATGTCCCCAACCCCCCCCAAACCTCTTTTTAGCCGCGGACGTACCACTCAATGAAAAACCCAAACCCCGTCGCGACTTCACGAGCCACATAGTCACTGTACCACCACTGCCGTACGCCGTACACACCCATGCTGCCGTACTGGCGTACCTGCGTCAAGAAATAGCACGTCCACTCCCAACGTGAGGCCATCCAAGATTGTGGAGGTCTTGGTAAAACCTGCGAGCGGGTCTGTGTCTTAATGACCTGTGCACCGCACGTCGTATATGCATGAGTGTGCGTGGTACATGTGTATGTGTATGTCGTATGTGTATGTCGTATGTGTATGTCGTATGTCGGATGGACGAGTGCTACGAGGTGATGAGATACAAAGGTGTATGTAGTATGTACGCCGACCGCATTGTTTAGAGGACAACAGAAACTGCCCCCCCCTGCGTTTCCCCCCTCCCTTCCTGAGGGGAAGAACATTTCACCAGACGTGGGATTGAGAATATGATTTCGGGGGCACATTGCGGCGTTGATAATCCAAGAGGCACTCCAGGAGCAGAGGAACAATAAAAAACACACGACGATGGCATTGGTGGTACAAGGAAGGAAGGAGGGAAGAGAGGGAAGGAAATCATATGTGAAATTTTTAAATATTGACTGACTGCCGGATTCCAAAGTTTGAGCCACAACAAGGGGCTGTACGGAAGGATGGCACGTGAAAAAGTACGACGTCCCTCAGGTCCAGCAAAGACACCAAACGCACCAATGCCATAAAAGTCGTTGGAAAAGACGTGGAAGTTGCCCAGCGTAAAAGCCGTGTTTGCAAATGACACGCAATGGGCGCCGTACTTCCCTGCGAGCGATCCACACTTTTCATCTGACCCATGGGTCTGCGAGGGGAAAGGTCGAGAGGAACCACCAAGCAAAGCATCAACTGTCGAGAAGTCAGAAGCAAAGTCATGACCCCAACCAATGGCCCCCCCCACCTCCTCACCACACCTCCTCACCCCACCTCC